CCTATAGTTGTGTTGGGGTGAGAACTCCTATAGTTGTGTTGGGGTGAGAACTCCTATAGTTGTGTTGGGGTGAGAACTCCTATAGTTGTGTTGGGGTGAGAACTCCTATAGTTTTGTGTAGTTTTGGTCAGAAGTCCTATTTTGTGCAGCTGCAGTGAGAAGTCACTCTTATTTTGTATAGTTGTGGAGAGAAATCCCTCCAGCTTGCGTTGTTTCGGTGCGAAGTTATTTTAGTTTTGTGTATTTAGTGAAAAGTACCTTATTTTGTATAAATGTGGTGAGAAGTCATTTTCATTGTGTATAGTTTTGGTGAGAATCCCCATTTTATTTGGTATAGATTTGGTGAAAAGTTGCACTTGTTTTGCATTGTTGTGGTGAGAAGTCCCTCATGTGTTGTGTAGTTGCAGTAAGGTCCTCACCTTTTACCTAATTGTGGTGAGAAACCCTTTCAGTTTAAATAGCAGCAATGAGAAGCCCTCCTCATTTTTGTATAGTTTTGGTGAGAAGCCTATCTCTGTTTGTATAGTTGAGGTGAGAAGTCCCTCTTGGTCACATTGGTTCTATATTGGTTATATAAAATCCTGTTTTATAAATCTTAATACACTGCCTCTCCTCTCATAATCTTTGTTGTCTATCAGAAGTTGCCGCCTTCGTTCTGAACAAACTTTGCTGTCAAATGAACCGGCAGCTCCTCAGTGTGTGTAAATGATTGTTACCTTTTGTTGAGCCTCATTGCACTACTAAACTCTGACCAGAGGGATGTGATCTACAGTCATCATGGGCGCTGTTGCTTACACGGTTCCGTGTTCCTCAACATCAGTGGAGCATCGTTGCATCAGCGCCCCACATTACAGTTCAAACGTGGTGAAAAAGAAGATCCTGGGTATCAAGTGTCAAAATGAAGCGCTCCTTTTTCAGGACTCTCAGCATGATGCAATTGAATTGCACATTTTAGAAATATCATTTTGCCCTCTGGGTAATTGCAGGTAATTTACTCTGTATTTTTAAAGTGTTTAACTAGCCCTGAACTCAATGGGTTTTGCAGACACTGCTGAAAATGAACCTATTGATTAAAACAATAACTGGAATAAATATGAACACACAGACTAAATGGACAGCTTGCATTTGTTTGTCTGCCATGAATCCATTCATTGTCAGCTCTGCTGTATGCTCATAACAGAACACATTTTGTCAAGTTCTAATGGTTATGTTCTGCAGTGGAAATAAAGAGGCTTTGCATGAAATTAAGTTTATTACCATTTTTTAATACTTCTTACATGCTGTCAGTCCTGCAACCCTTCAACCTTTTGGGCCGCACAGTAATCCATCAGCAGCATGACCCCCATGCACCTCAGCAAGAGGGAACATCATTGTGACAAGCAAAAACCACGCTACTGCTGCGTGTGTTTTCACCAAGTCTAAACAACAGTACGTCCTACATCCCCTGACTTCAAGCATGCACACATGCGCTACCCCCCACCCAAATTATTCAGCCCCATAGTGCAGCTCTATTTGCACTCCGACACGGCTCCAAACAGTTACTAGGTTTGTCTCACTCTTTCATCAGCTCTTTGTCGTGTGGCCAAGTTGTCATACGTACCCAGTTTCATCATGTCTTCATCAGCACAGAGAAAACTATAACTACATTTCTTTGAATCGGACAGAGCCACAGTGTGATTTTACACCCACACACACGCACGCTCGTAAATTCCGCAGGTCAAGATACATTTTTCCATCTGTAACAGTAATTGGCCAGAATGCAAAAGGGGCGGCAGAAAGTGGGAGGAAGGGTGGTGAGAAGGTGCCTATCCAGTATCTGTAGCGGTTATGTTGGAGGATGAGGGAGGGAGGAGCACAAAGCATGCATTTCATGGTAATTACAATGGCTTTCCACATTGAACAAATGGGCTCGTTTGCATGCATCTTTCAAATCAGCCTCCAATTTATTTGAATCGGCTCGCTGAGATGTAGCACAATGCAAAGTGGTTAGTCACCTGAAACACGTGGCAAGCCTAAAAGTCACACAGAACTTGAGCATTACTTGAGTTACTTACATTAATTACATTACTAGACCGTATTATATTACATTGTTATTTTTAGCATATATCTTAGATCCTTGTATACTGTTTCTTTTTTTACACTTAATATTTTTGCTGTTTTTGGGTGTAACTAGGACCCTGAGTACACAATTTCACTCCACCTCATGGATCACATGTGATGCGAATGACAATAAAGAACAGTGAAACTTGAATTACTCTTTTTTTTTTAAAGTTGTCTTCAGGCTCTTTCGGTGAGTAGTAAGCAGCCATTTTACCTACAACATTTGATTATTATGCACGGATGATTGATTGTTTTAGACTGATTTCTTTTGCACGTGTAAAAAGGAGGTCCACTGTCATATGTGAGCAGAGTGAACAGGAGAGGGCTCAACACACAGCCCTGAGGGTAGTCAGTTCTGAGGGTTATGGTGGAGGAGGAGAAGTTGTGGATCCTCACAGACTGCAATCTGTTGGTTAAGAAATACAGGACCAAGTTGCATAGGGAGGGACTTAGTCCAAGTGTGAGTAGTTTGTCCATCAGGGTCTGGGGAATCATGGTATTGAAGTGGATGTGAAGTCCACAAAAAGCATACGGACGTAGGAGTTCTTCTGCTCCAGGTGGGTGAGAGCAGTGTGGACCACAGAGGAAATGACATCCTCTGTGATGCAAATGACAATAAACTTGACTTGAACTTGGACTTGAAAGCCATTTTCTGGGAATTCCACAGCAGACTGGTTTAAAACACGTCAATAAGGTGCTATTTAATGCGACAAATCTTGTTGGCAGGCCTCAGACTGATGAAGTCTTTTGGATGAAAGATTAAACGTTTCTTCCAAAAAGAATCTGTCCAGATGACATGATTTAACTTTTTTTGTGATTTATTTACCTGGATGATTGAGCGTACTTAATCTTTTTTTTTTTCGAGCATCATTTCTTGAAACTATTACTATAGCTGTGAAAGAAGCTTCTTTTTTTTTACGCACCTAACTTTCATCAGTTTTCACAGTTGTGATCTGAAAACAGGCAGGCAGCTCAAAATGTAGGCACAGGGATTGTTCGATTTGAATGGCAGCAGAGATAGAAGGGACCCAGAGGCACTTTGAAACATCAGAGGTTCCTTTAAATGTACAGACATATTCAAACCAACAGCACACACTTACTTATAGGTACTGCAGTCACGACTAATGAAGCTGCTGCATTTCTTGGCACTGAGATGAAGGAGAAACAGAGGTACTGGAGAGAAACATGCCACCACATCATACAGCGGATTAATTTCCATAAAAATCAATTAACAGACAAAACTTTAATTAAACACATTCTCTTGCACAACAACCCGAAAATGAAAGGAGGTGCTTTTAGGTTTGTTTTTGAATTTCTAATTTAAAGAACCATGTTTGGGTGACAAGGTTGTCAGAGCAGAGTTCAAAACTTCAAACTGAACATAGATGAGTTGGCTCTGAAGTATCGCCGCCAAGACTCCAACCTTCTGACTGGCTGTTTTTTTTTTAGGGCTGCACATTAGAAAATCATTTGATTGTGATGTAGTAGTTGGAAATTGTGATAAGATCAGTTGTTATAAACTTTTATTCCTCTCAATCCTCTTTATTTTCTGTTCAGTCCTTACGGTTCTCACATAATCTTTCATGCATGGTACTAACTTGTCTGCTATTATATAATCCAGAGGTTCCCAACCATGGTCCTTGAGGAACACCATCCTGCATGTTTTAGTTGTTTCTTTGCTCCAACACACCTGATTCAGCGGTTTAATTACTTCCTTAAGTTTGGCAGAACCCTTTCATTCAAATCAGGTGTGTTGGAGCAGAGGAACAACTAAAACATGCAGAATGGTGTTCCTCAGGGACCAGGGTTGGGAACCACTGAGTCTTGTCACATTGCACAGATTTTTTTCTGTGTTTGTTTTGTGCACATTGATTTTGTGAAACCAAAACTTTTTATATGCTTGCATCCCTGCATCCCATTATGTTGCATTTATTTTCTTAAGAACTTTTGTTTTTCTGGGCACCTTGTCTTTATAATACCAAGTTTTAGTGAGAACAATTTTACTAGCCGCCACTTCATGCTTGGACAAAATTAAAGTGTTCGTGAATATACAAACATATTTAAGCACTGTGTTCACTTATGTCCCAAGTCTTTATTTTTAGGGTGTTAGTGATAACCAGTTGAAGTTCTGTGGTGTTTCTGGATAAACTCCTCAGTCAGGCATCGACTATAGACAAAAACTCATTGAGTTTGATGGGTTTTGGTTTGTGTAAAAGTCAAGCGTGATTGAATTTATTAGTTTCATGAAAGAGACCCACTGTTTTTCCTCATATTTATGGCCATCTGCTCATTTCTTTTCAAGGTTTAATAACATTTCAGATACAGTATCCATTAAGTGTGGCTTTCAGTACCTCCAGGCGCCAAGAAATTACCAACAGATGTTAATACAAACTCCTCAGCCGTACTGGCCTTCACATTTAAGGTATTTATTTGCAAAATAGTGCCAGCACTGCTGAGACAAAATAATCATTTGTGGTTGAGAGTTGGCTGTGCATTATAAAAATGACCTAATTCTAACTTGTATAGGAAAACAACTTGACAAATAGATTAATTTCATAATTGGAAATTTGCAAACTGTTGCCAAAACGAAAATGGGATAATTTCACATTTCTATTACCTGGACTGGGCTGAATAATCTGGGCAGCATAATGTCACAAGGTGGTAAGAATATAAGGTTGATTTTGGATGTTAATAATAACAGAGT